CCATCAACAGAGCGATTCTCATAAATCACCTGCGCTTTCAGCTATAATCCCAAAGGATGATACCCTTCGCACAGGAGTAAGCCCTGGCCTGGACATGCAGCACAAGGTCAGGGCACTCGAGCAGTGACGGTAAGCCTTTTGGAGACGAGGACCCAAACTGCAAGCCCAAACCCACTGATTTATCACAAGGTTCCACACTGCAACTAAACCTGAATTCTGAAGTTTTAGTTTAGGAAAAACAACTCATATATTAACATCTTTTGTCTTAAAACAAAACACACATGCCATAGATTCACCATCACTGTACCTGAGTGATTCAGAAAATCTCAGCACTTGAACCTAAATTAAGGTGCTAGAAAACTAGGTGAATCTCAGGTACCTATAAGAAGCCAGTGAAAACTCCCTCTGCAGCAGATACCATCATCTGGGACCTGGGATTTTTCCACCATTTTCTTTATTAATGCCAGACTCAATGACCTTAACAATTTAACTACAGTAGGCAAAACGAGTGCACAAGAAAGACATGTTGGAACACAAAGACCACACAAATCCAAAGCCATGAGCTGTTTGGATTTCTTATCACAACTTGTAAGGGTGATCAGCCAGCACTGAAGAACCTCTTCAAGGACAAGCACACCCCTTCCATTCAGGTAGAACCCCATTTTGCACAGCTCCAACTTTGAGAACACAAGCTAAAATCCACCACTAATTTCTGCCCTCTGGCCCAATTTCCCCTTCTCTGGGGTTACAAGTTTCAATCTGTGTCCAACAAAAGCCCCACCACCACCATATTTAAAGACATGTTTGAGGTCATCCCATTCCTTCTTTAAACAGCATTTTTCTTTTGGTGAGAACTCGATCAAAATATTTTTAGCTCCTCCACCATACTAGACAGTCATGGACTTGGACAGCTGAGTTTACTTCTGTCCAGTTAAAATGGTACTTGAGACTAAATGCAATGCTATAGGTATGGTCTAAAAAGCGCAAGTCAAGCAAGAGTCCGTGCCACACCCTGGACTTTAACTTCTGCAGTGTAACAAACTCCACTTTCCCGAAGTGTGGAGTACGAGGTAAGATGTCAAGGTGTGTCAGAGCTCATGCTCCAGCCAAACTGGCCTTTGCTTTTTCAAACAAGCTCCTCTCCACAGGCCCCTGTGTGTATCTTTTGCTCTACTGGAAAAATTCTCGCACCCAGAGACTTTTTGTGGAGTGTTCCTATCAAGCTCAGACCCAGTTTAAGTGTCAGCTCTGACTCAATTCCTGTTTTCAGCCCCCTCACCTTAAGACAACAATCATTATATAACTCCTCACTTCATGACTCTACCTTGCTGTACAATAAGCTCTATAAAGGCAGGGACTTATGGTGGGTGTTAGTAATTACTGTAGCTTCTTTCTTCATTCAAACATATTCCCATTTGTAGCTGTGAGTCACTGGTGAAGGACGCAAAAATAAAACTATACAGCTATCATTACAATCAAAATAAGAATGCAGTCAAATGTGGTGGTGCACTCCTGTAATTCTAGCACTCGGGAGGCTGAGGCAGGAGAATCACCATAAAGTTTTAGGCCAGCCTGGGCTACATAGTGAGGTTAAAGCCAACCTGAACTACATAGCGAAACTTTGTCTCAAAGAAACAAAAAAAATTTTTTTAATGCAACATAAAAGTCTCAAATAAATTTTACAAACAGCAATATACATCTATATAGCACCCATTACATCCCTGAACTTTGGGATTCTGTCACCAACTGACCACTCAACACTTTGATATCACATAATGGTATCAATTTTAACATGCAAGATTGACTCCTGATCTGCTATCTCACTATTTCATCCTGTCTCCATTGCTGTGTTTAACAAATCACACATCTGGCCCTTTTAGGTGCTGCAGACAATTACAATGGGATGGTGGTGTAGGCACTGGCCTACTTCCTCTGCAGCCCCTAGGGAGGGATTCTCATCTGCCACCACTCCACACTTAGGCAAGACCTAATATTTATCCCTACCATTTAAGGGCAATTAGCTACTTGGGCCTATTGTGGCACTGGGAGATCTGTGAACATACTGAATGTATCTCACAAGCCCTGTATCAACTGCAGACTTTGACACTCAAATAAAGCACCCTCCTTCTGGAACCCACAGCTCTCAGGGTTTCAGAGCAGTGAAGAAGTCCACTGGGTAGCATGTGCTTAGGCAGCTTAACCAACGTATGATGCAACCTATCTAAGCCAGATTCAAAGACAGGAACTCACAGATAGGAAATGATACACTAGTATTTCTGTCTCTGCTAAGTCCAATTTACATCCCATTATAAATAGAAAAGAGGTAACAGGCTGCTTGGAAATAACTAGTTTTGACAGCTTTTTTCTGACAGTCTTCTTTGTTACTCTTCATAAGCCCACAGCACTTTTAAGTCCTTGGCAACAGTTTCCATATATTTAGAAGTCCTGGGTTCACAGAATTTATGTAATAGAGGAAGAACTTTCTATTAATAATGTCATAAAACATAGTAATTGGAGGAAAACATTTAAATTCATAGTTGTAAAAGGTTAATATGTAACACAGAACTTTCCCATCTGTAGAGAAAAATGTCAGATCCTTAGTTCAAAGAATCCGCCCCTCTCATTTCTATTTTTTGAATATTATCCTTCAGTATGGTTGCTGTCATGCCAGTAAAGCCCTTGATAACCAATGATCAGCATATCCCAATGAAATCTTCATTGCCAAGTTTACATATGAAGACTAAACAGGAAGTGGCCCATGACATGCCACAGCACTGACTGCTGGCAGACAGTGATCTTGTAACCTCTTTGGGAATATACCCACAAAACATTAGGAAGCCAGTTATTCTTCTCTCCATATAAAATACCTTATTAAAATCTAGATACTATCTGGTATCCTAAGATATCAGAATAATCCTACTGAAAAATGAAATCTGATCCAATCTGCTCTTGGTAAACTTATGCTGGCTCTCCTTCTTTCTCTACATACTCAGAAAAACTATGCTTTTAACCATCACTATTTATTTTCTGCCAGGAGCAATAAACTCATCAAGTCTCTAACTTCTAGAATGTTCCTCCCCTCATTAAGCAATCTCAGAGAATGAAAGTGTTGCTAGAATGTTGTTCAGACTTTCCAAGCACATTAATGATCTCATTTAAGTCAGAAGCTGCATGTCAACTGCAATGGGCCTCAGCAACAGGCAAGAGAAATGAAGGGCTGGAGCAAGTCATGCCAAAATCAGAGAGAACTTTACGCCAGGTCTAAAAGAGTGATCACTCAGTTCCAGCAGAGTCATTGCCATGTAAGAGCTTAACTGATGTTCCAGTTTTCAGTTTTTCAAAAAACTAAAAATACAGAGCATTAAATTTGAAATATCTTTAAGAGTTGGTAATTAAATATTTTTAAAAGACCTCATGCTGGGTCAAAATACATCAGTGGGCAGAATTCTGTACCTACGAGTCCAGTTTTAATCCCTTTCTCTAAGCTAAGCAATCCAGTTAGATGTTTGCTTAAAAGTGGAGGTGGAGGCTGGGGATTTAACTCAGTCTTGCTGCACCTGCCGGGAAAGTGCAAGGTCCTGTGTTCAATCCCTGGCACCAACAAAAAAGGGGAGGTGGAGGAGGCATGGTGGCGCACACCTGTAATCCCAGCACTCAGGAGATTGAGGCAGGAGGATTACTGTGAATTTCAGGCCAGCCTAGGCTACACAGTGAGTTCAAGGCCAGTTGGAACTACAAAGCAAGACCCTGTCTCAAACCCTCCCTACCCGAAAAAAAAAAAAAAAAGGAAGTGGTTCAGAGAAGAGCAAAAATCAAAATTGGGACTTCAATTACTTCTTGAAAATATTTCTTTCTAATTCATTCTAAATATTACCCTCCTTGACCTAGACAACAAAAATGACAGTGATCGTAAAATTATCAAAGAGAAAAAATGTAACATGTAGTCTGTTGTTCTTGCGGTAAACATGATGAAAAAAAAAAACTTAGATTTTTTTTCCTCTGACCCTTTTGTAGTATATTGCTCATCCCTGGATACATGGCCTCTTTATGTTTAAAACTCTGAGGGATTTTTCAAGCCATCCCTCACCCTTCTCTGTTCTAGCTAATATACAAATCACACATGAGCCCTGTGTTAAACAGTCCAAATGTCCCTTGCCACACTTCCCATTCTTTTGAGCCATTTTTCCTTTGCAGAATTATAATCTATGGAATCTTATTATTTGTCTGAAATTTGTTAAGTGTTTTTTGATTGTGATGCATTTACACTTATGTTTTCCTATTGTTTGCTATTACTGCCTAGCATTTTAAAACATTAATGAAAACTAAAAAAACCTGTTCTCTGGTTTCTGAACTTAAAATATGTAAGATAGGAAAATAAAACTACTCATATGATCCTACAATGGTAGATACATGTCATTGAACATTGTTCAAATCCACGGATGTACAAGAGTGAACTCTACCATAAACCATCAGCTTTGGTGATAACAGCATGTCAGTGAGGAGTCACAATTATAATAAATGTCCTCCTCTGCTGTAGGGCAATACAGTCAATGAAAAGTATACTTTTTGCTCAGTTTTACTGTGCACCTAAAAAAGGAGGGAGAAGGGAAGAGGGGGAGGGGAGGGAGGAAGGAGGAGGAGAAAAACTAAGTTAAATTCCATTAGTAATAAGAAACCAGGAAATAACTTTTAAATTTCTCATGTAGTTGATATGAAAGGATATGAACTCTATGTACTAGGAGCGCTCAAACCAGGCCATTAAGAATTTCATAACCATACTCGTGTTCAAAGCAATCACAACATTCTACTTTGCATTAAATACAAAGGAGACTGGGCAGCCAGGCTTTTACGTCACTTATATGCCTAGTATAGAAGTCTTGTATGTGAGCGTTTAGATCCTCTTATGACTTCTGTCATAGCAGTCTTACATGCTTTTTAGTTCAATTCATAGAGTAAGTAATAAAATATTACAGAATGGAAAGCAAAAGTAGGCATTTCTTAAATTTATTGAAGAATTCTTAGTTGGGAGAGGAAAGATCACAGGCTTAAACAACTGTAAGATAAAAGAACAATTAATTGCAAGTTATTACAAAAGTAATTTTTGAAACTTCTTTTTAAGCCACTACTAAAACAAAAGTTTAGTGCATCCTGAAGTTCCTATTTTGGTAAGCAAACAATCACTGAAGAGCAAAAAAAAAGTTACTGTAACACGGTATAAGATCTTTATGTAATAACTGTGCACAGCCAAATAAAGTTATAATTATTCAAAGCTTCTTTTGCTATATATCTGGTAATTAAACAAGAATGTGGATTACTTTTAACACTGCACAAGTAACCAAAGGTAGCAAATTCAGCGATATTAAAACCTGGTATTAAACAATATTCAAACATTGCAACAACAACAAATGAGAACTTCTAGATCTACAATTCTAAATGAAGGAATGTACATGGATGATAAAAAAAATAAATAAATTAAAGTGACAAAAGTGACTAACACTGTATCTGCATCTTCAGAGCAAGAATACAGTAAATGATTAAATGTTCTGCAAGTTTTTTTTCTGAAAATGAGAAAAAAAATGCATCTCACTTCATTGTACAATTTTTCTAATTCCCAATGATGCCCTTCTCCTGTGCAGGTAAAGGTGAACAGGGCTTTAAATGGAAAGTATTTTCCCTAACCCCTGAGTGTGGATGCAACATTTTAAACATTCTGTCTAAAGTTTTCTTTGAAAAAAAAAACGTAAAGTGATATACTGGTGGGAAATTGATTATATTAACTGTGGGATAATATTAGCTAAATAATTAAGTAGATATCATCAGACTGGACTCAGATGATGAATAAAAATTAAGCTTTACATTTGGGGAATGTGCACAATGTCAAATTTCTCTAATGTCATCTTTCCTTTTATACACAGTGTACTTAAGTAATTAAATTCTCCTACCAGGAATATAAAAAACCTTTACTTAAGCAGAATTAAAGATTATGAATTGAATTAATTCACATAAAATATCTAAAAGGTTAAGTGCAACATTTTTCAAAGTATAAAGGTACCACATATGTTCAGAGTAAATACTCTCAAAGGTTTTATAATGCCACTAAATCATACATATTTATCCAATAGACACTGTCATTTTCTTCTTTGATTTATAAATGAATCTTTCATTTTGAAGAAATCAGGAAGTACTTTCAAAATCAACATGAATAATGCCCAAAATACAAATGTAATTTAACCTTAGGAAAAGGAAAAGAACATGAAAGAACTGCCCTACTTTAGACTGAAAAAATGTTCTGAAAACCCCTTCTCAGGGGTTTCATTCACTTTCCACAGATTACATGATGATTCTAAAACTGGTAAACAATTCACAATTTTAACAACTGCACATCACAATTTTAACAATTTTGAATGAGACATATTTCATTAGGACCAAAATGTACAGAATGGCAATATTACGATGTTACAATATAAATATGTCAAGCAGATTTGTAATAAGACAAAGCTGTTCTCAACGGAGCTGCTTTCAAGACTGAGCAACCAAACAGATCTACAAATGTCTTTGGAAAATCACAGAGTCTTTAAAGAAAGTTAAATTTAGACTGTATATGATTAAAAGATACTGTCCAAACATTCTCTCTATATATATAAGGAAGCTTAACTCACGTTTCTTTTTACATATAACAATATTTAATATTTTCCCTAATGCCTCTGCACTGATGCAAATGTGGAGTTCCACTATTATTATAATCACACACGCTAACACCTAATGACTGGTTTGTCAGTAGGCAGTGGTTAGATAATGGAACTCTGAACCCAGCACAGGTCCAGCAAAATGCAGAAGAAAGAATATGTCAAAAACTTTACCTCAAAATGAGTATATCGTTAACATAAATAAACATAAGCATTTCAAACACAGAAACTTTTACAAAATATTTCACTTTAAAAGAAATTCAGAATCCAGCTTTGTTATTCAAACTCATATTTACACACAAATTACTAAATAATGATTCAATTGTTATTCAAAATGCAATTGAACTTGATTAATTAATCTACCTTACAACTAACAAGAGCAAACATTCCTGGTCCTAACATTTAAACTCCAGTCCAGTGTGGCCTCATCTCAAATTCTGAAAACCTCAAGGCAGAAATTATAATTTCCTTCTTTCTTTACCTCAAAAGATATTTGAAACTTCAGGAAAATTTATGATTAAGGATCAGCCTATACTTGTATCTTAAATTGGGGAAAACCAAAGTCTACAATGTAAATATTTAAGTAGCCTTTGACATTTTTCTTAAAAAGCAAATCTAAATCTTTCACTACAAAACATATTTTTCTACCATAATTATTAATTCAAACTCATGTAATTACCTGATTAACTATTCCTTATGTCCTCTACATTTTGTTCAGCTTCCAGAATAGTCAATGTTTGGAAGGAAAAAATGTAACAAAATTAAAAAAAAAAAATCAAAGCCTACAAAAAAAGCAATTTATCCTACATTACAAAAGCCACTACTGGAAGAACTAAAACAGTGCACATACATACCCACACAGATAAAACCAAAACACATCTTGGTCCTTTTACTCATGTCACCTTGCACTTTCTGAAGACAAAGTAGTAGAAAATGTGGAGCCCAGAAAGATCATGCAGAGAACTTTACAAAAAAATAATGAAGATAATATTTTATTTCTGGAGGAGGGTCACAATTTTTCTTGAGAAAATTTATTCTTGGTAACTAGAGTTTTGTTTTGTTCTTTTTTTTCAAAAATTTAACAACACATTAGGCTCCTCTGAATACATTTCCATATTAACATTATTTTTAAAATTTCACTGTTTTGCAAATTGAATTTTCATTTGTAAGTCAAAAATGGTTACTACATAATCTTTATAGACCTTTTATTTTGAAGCACCATTTTAATGTTTACAATGGTTTCTAACTAAGAAAAGGATAAAATAAGAGGAAATAAACTGCTAGCAAGGTTAAAGTTCTCTTTTACACACACACACACACACACACACACACACACACCACTTTCATGCCAAAACGACTGGTAGCCTTAGCAAATAATGTTATTTGATGGAAGGCCTGGGAAACTATCACAGTATTCACAGAAACCTAAAATAATGTTCCTGCTAAAAAATAGTTTGGAGGGAACCAAAAACCTGTCAATAGCTGAAGAACTACTGACATAAAAATGATTTTTAAAAACAGGACAAAAAGTCCAAAAACAAATCAGTCTCAATTTTATTTTTTTCAATCTGATGAGTCATTAGTCAGATACCATTTGTTTGCAAAGGAGCGATTACAACTGTATCACTGGAACCTCTCCCTAATCACCTCTGCAGTTTCAAGCAGTACCATTTGGATGCAAAAAGAATGCTGTCAGACAATGTCCCCAGAAACCTTATGGTAAGACCTTCCTTCCTTCCTTCACATATATGTCACACACATCAAATATGCATACAGAAGAACAGGTAAAGATAATATTTTAACAGGGATTACAAAAGTATGAACTATATACACTGTGTGATGACAGAAAGCACTTTAAAAGCTATATTTATTTTTCTCCCAAATCACCTAAAATGTTCATATTTACTATTCAAATTTATCCTAAACATATTTATGCTTCTTCCCTCTTTCAAAACAAATAATAAAATATACCGGTTTGGGGTTTGTTTTATGCATTTTCCAAGAGCCAATCAAACAGTGACTTGCATCTCTCCTCACTGGAAGCTTTTTCCACCACTTCATAGTATTTAAGCACAGCCTGCAGGAGGTCTCCCACTTTCCATCCTTTTTCTTGTAACCATTTTGAAAGCTAAGAAGAAAAAGTCAAACATTAATGGAAAATAATTTTCTGACAATGAAATTTTTGTTTTATCATTAGATAAAATTCAGAATCCTATTGTTCACAACTAAATATCATTTCCCAGTTATAATAAGGTCTTATCCCCTAAACTACCACCCCTTTACCCAAATGAGACATTTTCCCTTCCTTCCCTTTGTAAACACACACTCTCCACAGAATGACATTTTGTGATTTCTGGAGACTGCTCCACAAACCTCACCCACCCGCAGTCTATGTGGGAGTGCAGAGGCTAAATTTCTACAGGAAATTCTTCACCTAATTAAATACATCTGCCACACCCTCAGTTAGGAACATAAAATAATAAAGACAACATCAGGCTTAATAAAAGGATGTGGACTTTCCTCCTACAACATATAGTGTGGTTTTTTTTCTGGAATAGACGCTCTAAGCCTCAACGGAAACTTGGCTAAGTTAAAAAATTTTAATGTTTCCACAAAAACAACTAAAAAAGGAAATAAATATAGATTTAAATAAACTCTACCATAGCCAATTGGAATGACTTCACTCACTTTTTTGCCTATTTAGCTCTGTGAAAGTTCTTAAGTTTTGAAAGATCTAAAAAGCTAAATTCTGAAAAACTATTTTAATTTTTGTATTGTAAATATTAATGTTTTTAAAAACAGATTTATTGAGACATCATTCACATGTAATGGTTTTTAGTGTACTCACTAGGTTGAACACAACCATCATTATAACTGATATTAGAATACTTTCTCTTATCACACCAAAGAGAAGTCCTAACCGTCAGAAATCAAATCCTTTTCTCTGTGGCACTCCTCAATCCTAGACAACAACTGACCTCTCTGTAGATTTGGTGATTTTGTACAGTTCACATAGATGGAATCATAACATTTGTGTGTGGTCTTTTGTGACCATCTTTTGCTTAGCTGATTATTTCAAGGTTCCACCATGGGTTAGTACATTTCAGTGCAGTGGTACCACAGTTCATGAACTTCATTCTTCCCACAATTCTGGTTGCAAATCAAATTGGACAACAACCAAATCAAATTCAATGGTTAGGTTCAATGATGATCTTATGGGGAAATCTGATTATGAATGATGTTGCTGTCAACCTTTGTGCACCAGCTTTTCTACAGACACGTCTTCACTTCTCTTGGGTATATGAAGCAATGGAAATGCTGGGTTATCATGATAATACTATACATTTTGAAGAACTGTCAGGTTGTTTTCAAAAGCACCTGCACCATTTTAAGATTTTCACCAGCAATACATAAAAGGTCCAATTTCTCTACATCCTTGCTAACACTGCCTTTCTAATTAAAGTTATCCTAGTGAGTGTGAAACTCAGTGGTTTTGATTTGTATATCTCTCATGTCTAATGAGGTTGAATGTCTTTTCACATATCTATTTGCCATCTGGTTTTTTGGAAGATACACAACAATGATTCAGATTCTTTCCCCAGTTTTTAATCAGATTTTTTTGTATTTTTATTATTAAGTTGTAAGAGTTCTTTATATATGCTAGGTATAAGATCCTTATCAGATATACAATTTGCAAATATTTTCTTCCACTCCGTGGGCTGTCTTTTCACTTTGTTGATAGTGTCCTTTGGAGTACAAAAGTTCTTAATTTTGATATATTTTGCTTTTTTTCATTTATGTAGGTATACTTTTAAAATTCCTGGTTTCTATACAATTATCTCTCATCTATTTATGATTTTGGTAACAATATTTGCTTAATCTATTTAATAGTGAAACTATCAAATAGTTTATTATCCTAAAAGACAAAAAATAAGTTATTTCAATTATCTTCATTATCACTAAAGATATACTGCGCCTGCTTATTACCTGTTTCATAGTTTCCCAGCAGCCCTGTGGGGTTCTAGCCAGACAAGGCCAACATTATTTAAAATAAACAATAAATATAATAAGGCATCACTCCTCACACTTAAGCATCCCACTTCAACTAACCATCAGGCAAAGCTCCCTGGGCTGGGTTCAGGGTGACAACCACCATCACTCTGAGCTCCACAGAAAGACTCCTTGGGCATCAGTCTACCCAAAGCTAAATGACTCTGGGAAATGTTTGCCTTCCTACAGTCAGTTCTAATAATTCCCCTACTCATTCTTTCCCCTTGATAATTCATTTCTCAAGCACCCTTTCTGTCCTATTTTCTCTTTCTACTTCAAACCTAAACATATTTGAACTAAAGAAAGTCCAGTTTAAATAAAAATGACAAAATTTTTTAATTACATTATCTCTTTTCACTTACTTCTTCCAACATCTTCATAAATTCTGAACCAGAAAATGAGAGTAACTTGAATGTTTCTTTTTTACTACTGAGCAATATGAATTTGTTTTATTCATTGGATTACTTTATACCCTATGATGAGACTAAAGTTTACATAAGGACAATTATATGGGTGAAAACTCTTAAGACTGTAAACTGATTTGACTAACAAAGTGTTTGGCACACATTAATTGCTCAGTAATATATCTTATTTAAACTTCTAGTTGGCTTTTGATTATGCCAGTTACAGAGGTGTGAAGCTTCATTATTAGACAAAGACCCAAATTAATTACTAAGTACAATTATGAATAAACTAAATGGAGAATAACTTGATCTTTTCATAAGAACACATAAAATGTGTTAATTAATAACATCTCTGAGAACTAAGTGTAAGCCAAGATTTAGACTAAACATTTTGGTTTTTACACTATTATATCTGATCTTCATAAATCCTAAAATTTCTATACTTGTATTTCAATAGTGTAACCAAAGAAACTGAGACACAGACTGATTAACTTGCCCAGGGTTGTACTGCTGGGGGAATGGCATAGCTGACATCTGAACCCAAACTGTTGGACTCCACAGGCTAGCCATTTAAACATTCTGCTTTCAACAGGAATCTTATTAGACCAACAATGTGACAAGAACATTACACTGTTAAATGTACGCTTGGGACCACTCTGTCAGGCAGGTACTTACTAGTATGAAGTCCTTCTTTGAAGAATCATGAAAGTAAAGTTCTGCAACTTCAGCTTCAGAAGAAATGAGCCACTGAAGGATAATCCTTAACTGGGGGTCTACTGTGCATGGCTCCATGTCAATATTTGTAATCAGCAAAGTCTTTCCATCTTGCTCCAAACCTAATAAATTTAAACAATATGGAATGAAATTCATCAATTCAACTCTTAATATTCTGATTTCCAAGTACCTATATATATATGTATTTTTCATGCCTTAAGATTCCAATGAATGTTTTTCTTTTAAAAAAAATTTGGGGGGGGGGTACTAGGGATCAAACTCGGGACCTTGTGTTTGCAAAGCAGGCAGAGGAACCACTGAGCTAAATCCCTGGCCCCCAATGAATATTTTTCTTAACATACTATGACATTAACAAAAACATTCCTTCAACAGGAAAAGAATGCTAAAACCAGAATAATTTTTATCATTTATTGATAGCAAAAATGTAAAATATTATTTTAAGGCTTTGAATTCAAATAGTACTAATATCATAATTTCTGTCAAATTATGACCCACAGGGAAAAGGAAAGAAAACTATAAAATCATCGACATCAAAATAAAAATGAAACACACAAATATATGCCTCAAATAAAGAAGAGTAGCAAACACTTACATAGCATTATTATATCCTAAGTACTGTTCTAGGTTTTTTTATATATACAAATTCCTTTAACCCTCACAAGCACTCTATGAACTATGAAGCATTATCATATTTATTTTATAAGTGAGGTTGTCAGGCAGAAACAAACCAAGAGTCTTATAGTTGGATTTGACTAAGACACGCTGTAAACAGTATGGCTCCCTGCTCTTAATCATTTCATTCTTCAAGCAAAACAGGAAAAATACACAACTACTTATCCCCAAAAGCCAAATCAGGGAATTTTCCAGTATAACCGTAATATAAAAAATATTCTATTTTCAAATATATTTTATGGTTTAATGAGAATTCATCATCAAAATAAAGGATGTATCCCTGATGACTGCCAAACTAATGACTTGGGGACCAATAATATCATGTGTTTAACACTCCTACTTACAGATAACTGAGCAATACTGGTTGTGAGACAGAGACTCCCCCGACCTCACAAGAAGTGAGCATCAGGGGCACGCTGGCAGACATCATGCCAATCAGTACACACCAGTAATGGATATGTTGCTGATGGATATCCATGGTTTTCTGCTACAGTCTGAAGTACATTCTAGATCACTACTAATCATTTTGTCCTGGCCCTTAATTTTTAATTTTAAAAATTTGGTCCAAATTATTCTCTAGAAATAAATTTATTTTCTCTTCCTTCTCTCAAGCACACTATAGCATAAGACAAGGTCTCTGAGTCATTTTATAAATCCTATAGTGTTCATGCAGTTGGAAGTCAGCCAGCACTTCTCTGTACTATTGAGCTTTATTGGATAGGGCTCCTAGTTGCAGGGCCTGACAAAACTTCACAGCTCTCTTAAAGAGGATATTAACCAGTAGTATAAAGAAAAGGGACTGATACCACATAATTATCACTCCCACAAAAAGGAAAGGCAAAAAAGGAGCGTTTATTGCCTTAAGATTGCCAGTCTTGGGTAGTTCTGTAAATCCAGGCCAATCTATCTTCTAATTTAAATTTGAAAGTTGACTATTATTTTCTACATAATGAAAGATGGCTATAATCTCAAAAGTTGAGCAATGCCACATATGCAAATAATTAACCTACTGATTTCTGCCTATTCAGAAAAGAAATTCTGGACAGCCTGCCTAATATCAAAAGTGAAATATATCAAATGACTTTCTTATTTGTATTAACCGGTATCTTCTTTTCTCTTAGTCATTCCTCAGCAAAGTTAAGTAATAATTATTAGTTCATTAGAGAAATACTTATCACAAGCATTGATACCATGGTAGTATTTGGAATAGCTTTGCTCACAGATGTTACCTGGGAAAAAGTATACAACTTTTAAGCAAAGTCAACAATTTCTTAGAGAACAACAACAAAAAAAAGAAAGTAAACATTACCTAGTCTTCTATCACTAACTAAAAATACTGCCCTAACCTGACTCTATATTTGATAAGAAAAACAGCTTTAGGAGATTTATATAAAGAATGTTTACTTATAAAGAAATATAAGAGACAAGATTATATCTTAAGTCTAAAGATTTTAGCTTGAAAATTGATATATTACTTCCCTAAATAAGGAAGTACAAGAAGCTAATAAAACTGACTAGAAACTCAGGTGTCATAAAGTTCTTTTCAAGAAATTCTTTTCAGTATTTTCTCAGTTTGCCTACTTCTGAAGAACCAAAAACTTCACTGGTTCCAAACCAAGTACCTCAAACAGTGTAAATATATACTTTTTTATTTACATGTGCTACTCTATAGATATTGCTAGCATTTTCATAATTAAGAAAAAATAAAATAGAAAAAATTCAATAATTATCTGAATATAGTTACAACTCTGTGAAGAGTTGCTAGATGCAATCAGATATTCTAATATATAAAGATTACAAACTATTGTCCAAAACTAACCAATGATATCTAATAGTGACCTATTTAGAACTATGTTCATTAAAGGAAATCTTGAATATTTTCTCGGAATAAGTGTATTATGACTTTAGGTTGGAATTAGAGGAGGGAAGACTGTGGAAGGGTTTAGAAACACCTTTTCATTTTTACTTATTGATTTGTGTAAGTATGACAACATGAAATACTAACTTTAGAAGTTATCAGTTTAAAAGGAAAATATTACATGAGAGTAACATGCCATAATTATAAAAAATTATACTTTATAACATGACTAAAGATTTTTTAAAGAGGATTATGTAAAGAATTATAAATTTCTCAATTAAATAATTCCTTTAAAATATTTTTATCTTTATACTAATGAGCACCTCACTAGTGTAGCAATAAAGTAATATAAACTACTCAACAAAGGACCTAAAACTGGCCAAAACTACAAAAAGAATACCCTGATTCTTAAGTTTTACACAAAAAAGCTAGGTACTATTTGATGAAGATACACAAATACAAACCGTAAAGATTGCTCTTGAGAAACACTGTCAAAAACAAACTGTCATTTACCTTCTCCGTCATCCTCATGCTCTTCATCTTTATCATCTGGTTCATCACTTTTTGAAGAAAATGGCAGAAGCAGTTTTAAAAAACAAAAGAACTTAATTAAAAATGGTAGTAAAACTACATCTTTAAAATGTAGTTAAGGAATGAATGTTACAGTGTGACATGACATTTAGAAAAGGGAGAAATGACAAAAAGGAAGCTTTGCTTCTCACATCATTTCATGTTAAAAGCTGCACTGCAAATGATAACGAGTTACCAGTGACCAATAGTCCTGCCTTACTATATTTAGAGCCAAGTAATTCATTACAAAATTCAATTTCAAATAATTTAAAACTGAAATATTCTATTTTGACTTTAGATAAAAATAGCATTTGAATATCAGAAAATGCCATGAATAATGAAATATTAATGCTTCTGTTGATGCCATTTATATCTCTTTTAACACAGTTAAAAACATTTTCCTATACTTTTCTTGTATATGACTAAAATTACATACAAAGACAAAATAAAACAAAAAAACAACAGAAATCTTGTAGGAAGCAAGCTCTTTTAATGAAATAATAATTGGTAAAATGAAAATAGCAAGCAGAGCAATCCATGCATAATAGTCATACATATTGCGATTAGGTGTCAGTCACATCTTAGCATAGTTGAAATTTTTTTTGTTAGATGTAAATTTAACGAGTAGAATCATGTCAAAATACAGGAGAAAAGCAGATTGATACATATTGGCACTGTAACCCAGTTCTCTTAAGAATATGACATCATGCATTAGTGGTGAAAGACTCATCAGCTTTTAACTTTCCAGGCTGGACCAACCTGTCTGATGTTGGAAAGGATAAATTGTCCTCATACAAATCTCCTTCTAAACCAAGACTGCTCCAGCTACTGCTGTTACCATTACTGCTGGAGGAAGAAAAGAACAGAGCTGAACTAGAAAATGAATAGTAAAAACCACCTTTGTTGTTCTGGGAACAGCTTCTGTCCTTGGTTAACTGCAAATCCTGAAGCTGCCACAAGAGTGGAGCATCCATGAAGGGGATGAGAGCATCACTGATACTCTAAAGAGTACTTGTTTTGGTCAGAGGATGGTGAATTTTTTCCTCTGTCCTCCATATATCAAGAAAATTATTCTAAACTTACATTTATTTTGCAGGTTAAGAAAACAATGATTTTTTGAACACAAAATTAAATTTATGATGAAATTAATATTCTGTGGCAAATTTTATAATATAACTTGTAAAAAGGCTTCATTTTGGATAAAATTTTAAAAGGGAAAAATACAGTTTAAGACTCTCTCAAGCTTTTAAACAGTGCAAAACAGGGATAGGCTTCGGTGAGGGCGTGGGGGAGATTGATGAGTATACCAAAACACAGTCTCAAATCTTGCTTTTGATTTTTAAAATACTCATTATACCAATTACCTTTATTTAATAAATTATGTATAACACGGTAGGTGGAAATAACATGTATTCTCTTCAGAATAAAGCTGGAATAACCAAGGCTTACTTAATCATTACACTCTGGTCTTGTCAGTGCGTCACTAATACCACACACAGATAACAACTTCTTACATTACCTAACAAAAGGAAGAAGAAAGCAACTATATTCTATAACTGCAGCAAAGCAATTTTTTAAAAAAAGCAACCCTGTTCAGAAACAAATTCAATTTTTCAGAGCAAAACTTTCAACATGCAATTTTTTAAGTCTAATTATTCCTAATTATTAAAATAATTAGTAAGCCATTAGTTTGCAGTGAAAGCAGCTATATTCTCAGTATCAAACTAGATAATTACAAAAATTAATACTTACACAAACTAAAATTTTGGTTCTAAAAAATGAATTAAAATCATTTCAAGTGCACCAGTAAATGTTGACAAGTTTACCAAAAAAAAAAAAAAAAAAAAGGATAACTAAAGTTCTGAGCTCTTTTTGTTTGTTTGTTTGCTTTTTGTTTTTGGTATGCCGGGTATCAAACTCGGGACCTTGTGCTTGCAAGGTAGGCAGCGGCACCACTGAGCTAAATCCCCAGCCCTCTGAAGTTCTATAGTTTCCAAGAAATCTCAAATAATTTACATATCCATATTCACTTTAACATTTTTTGTTTTTGTTTTTTGAAAGAGGGTCTCACTATGTAGTTGAGACTCACCTGGAACTCACTATGTAGCCCAGGCTGGTCTCTAACTCGCAGTGATTCTCCTGCCTCAGCCTCCCGAGTGCTGGGATTCCAGGAGTGCGCCACCATGCCCGGCCTCACTTAAACACTATTAAACTGCCACAAACAATAATTATTAGAGAATAAAAATTAAAACTGCAGTTTTTTTAAACATAAGTTTAACCAAATATAGCATATTTGAAAATAACCAGAGTTTTATCCACGTCATCTGTTTTCACACAAACCAAAAATGAAAAATACAGAACTATAGAATGGCAAGATAGCTATCACACAAAGAGAAATACAAAAATAATGATCTCAAACACTGTAGTTATATCTATTAATAACTAGTTATCTAAATAAAAATCCAAAGTTGAAATCTTACCTATATCCTAATAATAAGGGTCATCTATTAATACCAAAAACCCATCACCTAAATATTAGATGAACCACAAAAACAGCTAAACAATATAGACTAAAACTTCAAATTTCCACCTAACCTCATCTCCTCTTCCCTTTTGCACCTAAAATGGGTCAGATTTAGTCAGTTATTTATAAAATACTACTTCCAACTAGAGTGGCCATTTTTCATGTAACCAGGATACTTTTGAAAATGAAGACTCACAATTAATAATTACATCAGAGTAGTACAAGTAAACTAACATTATCCCAAATTAACTGTAAGATATGATCGCCTTATATTAATCCAACATTTTTTTTAAAAATCTTAATTTCTTAACTAAAAACTTCCTATTTCATTTTTGAAACACTGTTCTGCTTCCATCAGTTTTTAAAATGCTTTTTTCATATTCTCTATGTCCAAAATAGGCATACTTCTCTATTGAAACTAGTGGTAGTCAAATATTAAATTTCTTTATTTTGGCTTTTAGCCATATGAATATTACTATCAATTCTGATGTAACTTATAAGGATTATCTCAAGAATTCTACAAGTCTGGCCCCATCTCTTACTTAATATAATACATAACTTCTTTAGAGAGTCATAAACCACATGAAATATTTAAGAAGTTTACAAACAACGGACTATTCTCTTTCTGAACAAACAATTGCACAATTCTGTGAAAATCTGAAATCTTTTCTTAAAAATTGTCACCCTCTAATTAAATTCCTTAGAGTGAAAGTGCAAGGTATGATCTAGCATCTAGATCTCTTTACCAGAAAAGAACAGTACCTACAGCAAATGTCACCAAAAGATATAACGTGTAAAACAATCTAATTTAACTGTGCTCTTCCAAGCACCTACAATGAAATTATCTAAGGTGGACCATAAGGACCCTCCCTCCACTGACTTAATGAATCAATGTCCGGAGGTGAGGTCCTAGAAACTGTCTGTTCAACAACCACACTGCCAACCTAGGATGAACCTGCTGTCTTGTTCTTTGTGCCTGAACCTTAATGCACATGGCAACAATACTGTTCCTACAAAGACTTAAGGTCAGCTGAAACCAGTACTTTTCAAACAAGATGCTATCAAACTAGTTTCACTATCTAAATAAATTTACTCATATTAAGTATAATTATTTTAGCCTCAGCCTGACTTGGTCTTGGTTTTGTTAATAGTATTATATTTCAACTTTGTTTTTGTGTTACCTACAAATAAATATTCCACAGTTTAAAAAAAATGCTGAGACAGGATGAAAGATAGAGCCTGACAGACTGCTTCCTTTTTGTCATCCAATTAGCTAACCCTCTGCAGAGTTGTTCAACTGGCTACAAGCCCTCTTAGGACCACTGGCCTCGACTAGAGTTCTGCTATTTTAATAACAAGATTTTCAAGCAACAGTGTCACCTCTCACTGAAATCCCAGAAGCATATGCTTCTCAAAGATGAGAGAAAAAATTAAATGTTAATATTCTGTGCTAGATGAAATTACAGAAAGGGACTAAATTATAATCTATGACCCTACCCTACTTGCTTCTACCATTTTTAAAGACTATCTTTTTGGACCTAGATCATAAAAAATACTAACATTTAGCTAGGCATAACAAACTATGACAAAATACACGCTTTATAAAATAATACCATCACGTGATCCAAGAAAAATACTCTGATAACAAAGCATTCTAACAGGTAGAAGTCCATTTCCTTTCCTTACAAGACCTCTTCTGTCTTCTTCCCTCTCCCTGGTAAGCCAACTCCAAGGGCTCAGTTCAATGGAAGCCTCACAGGATCCTTTCCACTTACAACTCAAACCAGAAGTATGCTGAGAACACTTTATCTTCCCTTGATTCAGCTATGGATGTTATCTACTATTTCTAATTATCAGCTGAAGTGCATAAAAATTTTATGGGAATTTATAAGTCAGTCATGAATGCCTTTAGTTTGGGATAAGAAACAAACACTATCATAATTAATAAAATATCTCAAAGATATTATTATGAACAAAGTAAACTAAGAAAGATTACATATGAGGTAAATGTCTTCTGGTATAAAAAAATCATATTTTTATAGTAAGTTTATGTATTTTTAAATCTTTCAAGTACATACAAATATTCGTTTATTTTGTTTCTAACAGCAGTACAAGGGCCCTTTCCTTCCCCTATAAAAAATATTATTTTAACTATTATCAAGAAGAAATACATGGCTACTTTTGTGCCTGTTATACATACCTGTCCTTTTTCCTATCCTCTAATGAAAACACCAAAAAAAAGAAAACAGAAAAAAAAAACTCTCTCTAAAGTGTTCCTGAAAAGTTCAGGAAAGGCTTAAAAAGTAAAAAAAACAAGACTCTACAATATTTCCTAAATCAATTATTGGTATACCCAAAGAAAATTAGCTCAACTAACTACTGTATTAAATAACTATCCAAAACCATTAAAAATGCATTGTGAATAAAATACACTTTGATTTCCAAATTTAGGATTTTTAATTAATACACAGTGCAAACTGATAGCTCTCTTCTGAGGTCTGAAGACCTAAACTACACAAATATATACACAAATATAGTTACCTTTCACTTAAATGATGAAAACTGCTACTTTCATCTTGGTGTTCATCCTCAAAACTTAAATTGGACCAGCTACCAATGCTGTCCTCACCAATACTGAGGTTCATTTGCTGGCTACCAAGTGACTCAGTTGACTGGGCATCTTCTATTTCCTTTGAACTAAGAAAAGAAAAAAAAAATCACAGTGGAAGCATCGTAGAATCAGAGTTATTTGACTACTGAGTTGATAAAGATGATAAAATAAAAATTATATTCAGAGTTAGATCAGTGGTCTCTGAAACCCTTTATTAAATCTGCTAATAATCAGACTTTGCAGGAGACCATATTAATTTCAAAGCTAACTGAGATACTGAATAGCCTACTATAGGTCCATCCCTACTGCATCATTTATTAAATTGTTTAAAACAGTTCATACGTTCAACTGAGATATTATATGGAAATACTGTTCCAAAGTATCATCTGCTTTGTAAAACAATACTTTTATCTCTAGTGAAGGAGCTCTTTCCGGCTTTAAGAACAAAAACAACAAAAAAAGTAGTTCAGGAATTCTAGCAGTGTTGATCAGGCCTATATTCAAACTAGCCAAATCTCTTCAGGAGTCTGAGCATGGATCACAATTGTTTCACTCTTTTGCTAATGAAAAGACATTTATATTTTTATTCCTTTATCAGAGAAAAGTGCATTCACTGCTCAACTACTATAAATGCCCTTTACATATTATTCCCAACACAGTAATCTAATGTTTTCAAAATGTAAGTATTCTGATCAAAATGGCTTCTCACCAATTAGAATTAGAGCCCAAGTTCTTAAAACACAATGGCTGCTCCCAACGCATAATGTCTACTTTATCGCCTACCATTTTCCCTCGCTGGCTCCACTTCAGCAAAACAGTCCTCTTTGTTGTTTGACAGATAAGCACAGTCCCACCCCTTCTCCTAGAGTGTGCATCTCTCTGATTCCTATAAGGCCATCTATGGCTCTTGGCTCAAATATTACTTTGCCAGTATTACCTACAATGCTACCTATTCAAACCCACAAACATTGGCCACCCTCCACTGTCACCAGCATTCTCTAAATCCCTTGTTTCATTTTTCCTGAGCCCTTAGCCTTAAGGAACATACATTCATTTTATTTATCTAGTGTCTTGTCTTACTGCACTCTAACATAAGCTCCAAGAGAACACAGATTTTTGCTTGTTTTGTTTTCACCTATGTTCCCAGGACCTAGACTAGCCCCTGAAACTGCCCTTCTTTTATGGCCACTTCTCATTTTGTATTTAAGATATACCAACATGAATTATATAAGGCAGTCTAAGGATAAGCACACTATATATAGTGCTGAACAATACTTTGTTTTAACACTTTTCCACATACTTACCACATTGTAAAGAAAATGACCCAACGGGATGATATCCAGAGAAATTTTTAATGGCAAATAGTTGATTTTGGAAAGAATGGCTTAGAATATAGCCTAGATCAGTGGTGGTGAACCTTTGGCATGCATGTTGTTTTTCTTTTAAGGCAAAAGATATTAATGTATGGATAGTTTCTGCTAAACTAAAACCTCAGCTTTCAGGTTTAATTGCAGTGTTGGCACTTTTCAATAAATAAGTGGGTTTGGGGTTGCAGCTTGGGAACACATCTCTAAAAGGTTTGTCATCACTGGCCTGAATGTTTTGTTCTTCTAAAAAAATAAAAACTACCATACAGTTTTCCATTTGCCATTCAGTTACAACCCTGGTGAGTATTACAACTTCATGATGCAATTATGGTTAGCTTCATGAACCAAACATTTATGATAAAAGGGACATTAGTGAAATAATCAAAATAACATCTTAGAGAGTAATCCATTTTTACTTCAGAAATAGAAAATGTGAAACAGTAAAATATACATACCAAAGTCAACTCTTGATATGTCAACTACACTGGATTAAAAAACACCTAGCAGATTAATAAAATACACCTTTGGATATCTTGGTAAACAGTGGAGGCATGGCTTTGGATACTAAATACGGACTTGGTTCCTTCCTCTCAAGCACTACGCCTCTGCTCTTCTTCCTGGCCTCCATGAAATGAGCAATTCTGCTCCATCATGGTCTTATTCTATGATGTTTCTACTTTAGAGCCAGATGATGATGCATTGAATTCTCTGAGACTGAGAGCCAAATGTAACCTGTCTTCCTTTAAGTTGTGCACGTTGCATCTAGCACTAATACAAGCACTTACAACACTAACACAATTATTAAGAAAAGAGAAGCCAAGTGTGGTGGCACTTGCCTGTAATTCAATACCTCCAAAGGCTGAGGCAGAAAGATCATGAGTTTGAAACCACCCTAGGCAACTTAATAAGATGCTATCTGAAAATAAAATAAGGGCCAGGAATGTAGCTCAGTGGTAGAGTGCTTGCACAACCCTCTAGGCCCTGAGTTCTATCCCTGGCCCTGTGGGGGAAAAAAAGAAAAGAAACAAGAAAAGAACTACAAGGTAGTATTCTTGTAAATACCAGCCTGGAAAAAAGCTGGCTTACCACAAGAACTGTAAGGATAACTACTACCCAGCAGCTCTAAGAAGGAAAAGTGAATATACTGAGGAATAAATAGCAAAGGTATTGGCTGTGTTTGCTAGTTCCTAGGAGTGACATCTTACAAGTTTCAGAGCATTTTCCTCCCTTGATTGTGGGAACAGGGTTGGGGCTAAAATAGCCTATGAGGTCACTATATGAAGAAAGTTAATTCAATTTTCTTTTTTAAAAAAGGGCCTAGCCAGGCATGATGGCACACACCTGTAATCCCAGTACTCAGGAGGCAGAGGCAGGAGGATCGCTGTGAGTTCGAGACCAGACTGGGCTACATAGTGAGTTCCAGGTCAGTCTCAACTACATAGCAAGACTCTGTCTCAAAAAACAAAATAAATAAATAAATAAATAGGGCTTAGCTTACTACCACTTATTTGTTTTTAATAGTTATTAGCCACACACTATATCATAAGTAGTTGTGAACCAAAAAATAAACCATGGGTCAGGGCTGGGGATTTAGCTCAGCGGCACAGCACCTGCCTGGCAAGCATGAGGTCCTGAGTTCAATCCTCAGTACCAAAAAAAAAAAGAAAGTGGGTCTATGTTAGAAGTTCATAAACTTTCTTTACAAAGGGCCAGATAGTAAATACTAAGGTGTTGCCAGCTATATGGAGACTATGTTCCAACTATTCACCTCTGTCATCATAGCATAAAAACAGCCACACAAAATACGTAATGAGCATGGCTTTATTTCAATAAATTTTATGAAGATATGTTTGAATTTCATATAATTTTCATATGTGACAAATGTTATTTAATTCTTCAATCATTAAAAAAGTATAAAAACTATTCTTAGCTTGCAGGCTGTATAAAATCAAGGGGTAGGCCATAAATAAGCCCACAGATCATAGCTTACAGCCCCTGACCTAGAGGAATAGTGGCCTTCTGATTAAGTCAGACACGGCACTTCTCATTCTAAGAGGATTCTAAGGAACAACTGAATTCAAGAATTATGGACAAATGAGGGCCAGGGATTTAGCTCAGGGGTTCCACCACCTGCTTTGCAAGCACAAGGACCTGAGCTTGATCCCTGGTACCAAAAATAAATACATTAATAAAAATAAAAAATTATGGACAAATGACATCTCCCTATTTAAGAATGGCTTTTTAGGGGCCAGGGATTTAGCTCAGTGGTTCCGCCCCCTGCCTTGCAAACGCAAGGTCCTGAGTTCAATTCCCAGTACAAAAAAAAAAATATGTATATATATATACACACACACACACATATATGAATGAAACTAAAGAATGGCTTTTTTTAAAAAGTGGCAGGCTTTGTCATAATTTTTAATGCAGCTGAGTACTCAAAATTCTGGGTATCAAGTGATTCAATTAAGATCTAGCTCAACCCAAAGCATTTTCTCTTTCCATTGGGACTTACAGATAAAATCCTACAGACTATTAACATGGATTGGCCCTGATATTTTCTCAGATAGAAAAAAGATTAAAAATGAAAATATTAATTAAGTTATCAGACTCACTGAGCAAAAGAAACAGGAACTGAAGAACAAGACACTCTGGGGCTAAGAGTGGTCGTGACACTGATGGAAGTACAGGAGAATATTTGTTTTCTTCCTCAGAGCAACATGATTTCACCAAATTTTATGTAAGAAAACTTACCTTTGTAAACAGGAAAAAAGAAAACTATAAAAATGTATAATCTCATAGTAAAATAATAGCCTATATTTGCTGTATAAAATTCTCCAGCTGGGGCCAGGGAAGTAACTCAGTGGCCCAGCGCCTGCCTGGCAGGTGCAACGTACTGAGTTCAATCACAATACAAAAAAAAAAAAAAAAATTCTCCAGCTGTTAGCCAGGCGTGGTGGTACATGCTGGTAATTCCAGCACTCTTGGAGGCTGCGGTGAGAGGATCATAAATCAAACCTGATTATGATGTTAGGGCATCATAATGAGACCCTGTCTCAAAACAAAAAATCAGACTAGGGCTGGAGATCCAGCTTAGTCCTGGGTTCAGTTCCTAGTATTTAAAAGAAAAATATCCCTACCTCTTTCAGTAATTCAATTTTACCTGTTTTATAATTCTGTGAACTTGGACAAGGTGATTATCTTCTATAACTTTCATCTAATGGCCCTAAACACAATTCCTTTCCTCAAAAGATATTGGGAGACAAAAACATATGAAAATCACATGTAAGATATGAAACCATGGACAAATGCAGTAGGAAAATGTTAGTGTTTAAAAAATTATACATTTGTGAACAGGACTTAAGACATATATGAGCAAGTTTAACTTTTCATTTTATCATAAGCCCCCCCCAAAATAAAACTTTCAAACTTACCTGCTGACAGTATGTCCAACATTCAGCATGGCTGATGTCATTATTTCTGTGGTTAGGCTTTCAGCAAAACTAATGCCATCTTGTCCAATCCCACTATCAGCTGCCAAACTGGTATTGCTCAGCTCTCTCTCCGCTCTTTCAATAGCTTCAGCAACTATCTTCTCAGCAAGTAGTGATTTTTTATCAAGATTTACATGAATTTGAGGGACATCAAGATGAAAAATTCTAGATTTCTGACAGATGTTGCTAAACTTTGAATTTGTAACTAACTTACTACTAACACGTGAATCCTGTCTGAAAAAGTGCTGAGTTGAGTTTCCGGTACAATCATGGAGTTCTTTACGGTCACAGTATCTGCAATTCTGATTTGTAAGAGGTGACAACTTTTCTGCATAAGTGATCCTATCTACTGATTTTGTAGTTTCAGACGATTGGAAAACTTTGGATCCTAGACCTAACTCTAAAGTGTCGTCCACTACTTTTTTAGCATACTGTTCTATAGCTTGAACAATATTCTCTCCACAAGCACGTCTATTTAAGTTGCCTGTACTGTGGTGATATCCTTGATTTTGTGAGGACAGCTGAAGAGGCGTAGAAAATTCTGGTTCTGTGAGACACTCAGTATCTTCAACATATCCAGATTTTTCAAAAAGGCAGGAATCTGTTAAGGATTTTGGTAAGTCAACTTTAGGTGCCATCAGCTCTTTTTTAACATCTCTTGTTATGCAGCGAGCAAGAGAGGCTGAAAAACTATACAGGTGAGAGTCCTCATTTCTACATGTATCTCTTGTTCTTTCACATGTTTGATTTTGACAAAGGTGACCTCCATTTCTTTTTCTTTTACTTTTTTTACCTACTTCTCGGTGCTGTTCTTTGTTCGAGAACATTAACAGTTCACTGTTTATCTTCACTGGCGCACTTTGCACAGGGAATATTTTTGAGCTGCACTTCATTTTTGCTGTCTTAGCTGCTTCTTGTAAACCTGACTTAACAGACCGATAAGCAAGTCTATTGGCAAACTGATCCATTATTAACTCACCATTACCACCTTCCTGTTTTAGCATTTGAATAACATGACCTGCATATTCATCTGTCACACTTTCACAGCTGGGGTATTTATATGTCAGACCTGACATAGAACTTGGTGGTAATGAAAGAATAAATGGATCCACTTCTCTTGGGTGTGCTACAACTTCCATATCCAACGTCTCTTCTGATCTATAATCTTGGTCCCCATCAATAAAACATAGATTCTTCTTTTTCCTGTGAAGTACAGAACTTCTAGCTTTTGCTATTTTCTCAGCTTCTGTAATGATTTCTGCAGCCATATCGCCTGCAAAAATGCATGTCTGAAAATTTTCATCAGAATGACTTAAAAAAACAGGCAATACTTTTCCTTGACTTTGCACACTGAAGCAAGGCTTTTGAGCCTCAGGTTCTTGGGTTATTTTATGATCTAAATGAGAGGCTGCCATTTCAGTTGCAAAAGAAATTATGTGTGTAGCTAATGCTTCTGCAAACTGCACTTTCTTCCCTGAGTGCTCTAACTTCACATTCATTTCTGGATGTTCTTCACCTTCACTACTTTCAACTTCTTCTGAAAGAGACCGCATGAGTTTCAACATAAACTCTTCTTTCTCTATAGTATTGTGTTCACTTTCAGACAAACTACCAACAGATGAATTGTGAGGTGTAGAAGGTGGCGTAGCAGGTGCAAATTCTTTGGCTAATTCCCCTTTGAGCTTTTTTGTTAACTTCTTGATATCCCATTCAGAACTAGCCTGGGATGGAACTAGAGGAGTTGATGGAGGAGTATCGGGTATTATATTTCTGTCTCTGATTTTCTGTTTATCTTCCACATGCAAACCATCTACACAGGTAAGCACTGTCGATGAGATAGTATGTGAGCGACGTAAAGGGCTCTCCTGTCCAAAAGACAAGGGCTCAAGTGCTGTATCATTCAAATTATGCTTTTTCACTGGTTTATCCTTAGCAAGTTCCTTAAGATCAGGTTTCTGACTTGCCATCATTGGACAAGGTGATAATGTCTCTAAAGAAATTCCATGAACCATCGAATCTTTACATTCTTGAACACAATCCTTTCTCATGGAAAGTGAACAGCAAGGTAAATGATCTTGGGCATCAAGAAATTTAGGGAACTTTTCTGAGGTCGACTGTGATTCTTCTCCAGCAACAGGCAAGCCTTCTTTAGATATGATATTTGTATTTGTAGTTGATTTTATTGATTTGCTTGTATCTATGGAATCTTTAATAACAGATTTAGAGAATAGTTCAGCAAACGTGTCTTTATTGGTAGCTTCCCCCTGCTGTGGTGCTGCTTGATGAGAGAAAGGTGAGGCATGTCCTTTTATTGTTTTAGTTAAACAATCAGTATTTTCATCAACTGTTTTGGCAACTTTGAATAGTGTCATTGACTCTAAAGTTTCATTTACTATTGTATGCACCATTGCTGCAGAAAAGTTACTGATAATCACAGGGTCACTTGTTAATTTTGAAGAACTTTGAATTTCAATGTCATTATTAGTTGGTTTACAATCATTCTGGCTTACCAGATTGTGTTCTGAAAGTAAACAAATGTTTCTGGGACAACCTACTTCCTCTTCTTTGTTTTTTGACATAACGTGTGCTTGGGTAGAATCACCATTTGTATTACTGTCATCAAGTGACAGATGAGAATTTGTGTGACACACAGTAAAGGAAATATGATATGGAAGAAGGGCACTTCCTGCCAAGGGCACTGGAATAGAAGTGACAATTCCTGAAGTACAAAACAAGGCCTGCTGAACAGTGTATTCCTTTTTATATTCCTGCACTGGTTTCGTCACCGTAACGGCTTGATTGTTAAAAGGGGAAATTGTGAAGGTCTGTGTAGATGGTGCTACACTTTCTGCATTCACATACTTAATATTATCTGTAGAAACACTAACTGCTGCCTTTGTTGTGAAGGGCACATCAACTTGTGAAAGCTCAATGAACGCTTCCTGTATTACAGACTCAGACAAATCTTCTGCATATGACTTCATGACTTTGTCTTCAAAATCAAATGACTGACACTGCAGAGATGCAGGTGTTGAAGGATATGAAAACTGACAAACTTCCATGATGCCTTCAAAAACAAGCTCTTCAGCAAGATCTGCAGCAAACTTAGCAACTGTATTTGTAAATATCTGCTTCTTTACATACTGTAAATCTTTTAAGGCATGTGAAAAGGCTTCACTCACCAAAAAATTAGCCAGACCACTAATGGCACGTTGTTTCAGTGAAAACGCATGCTGCCTTCTCAGTTCATTAAATGCCATCTGAAAAACAGATGAAGTCAATTGGATGGCTAAGTGGCACAATGCATTAGTGCACGAAGAGACTCCTTTCTGTAAGTCTTTAAATGCACTGCTAAAACTTTTTTCCACAAGATCTGCAGCAAATCTCTGAATGCTATCTTTAATCATTAAAGATTTATTTTTATAGTCACTTTTTTGATAGAGGTTTGCATGCTTAAAAGCAGCAGTTTTATTTTCTCCTTTTTTAATACTATTAATGTTTACCATTTCATTAGCATGTTGGTTATGAAGAACGGATTCTAGTACTTCACATGAAATGTTATTTGCGTAATCGTCATAGATGTAATAAACAGAATCACGAGTCTGATATCCACCATTATCTGTTTGGCAAAAGCATTCAGCAGGAGTACAGCTTCCAAGAGGACTAAAAGCAGAGGATCGAATAGGGCTAAACCAACCACTGTCATCCCCTGACGCCTTTACTGGACGAGGAGAATCTGGAGCATCACACAGGTTGCTGCTGTAAGGAGATTCGGGCTTACGAGGAGTTGGCTTTTTAACATTAGCTGGAAGAGCTGGGCAATCAGACTTGAATTTCTGAGGATTCATACAAGATTTTTCATGTTTATGCCCTTTCTTTCGTGATGACTTTCCTTCAACAGGATCATTTATAAAAAGGGAGAAAGTCTCTGAGGATTGTTCTAGCTCATCAAACTGATCAAAACTATCAAAAAATTCACTTACTTCTGAGTCTGAATCCTCTACATCATCTTTCATCACAGGAATTTTAGGCAGCTCAAGTTTTGCTTTTAAGCTTTTCTGATACCCTTCTTCATCCAAGAAAATAACAGGACTTGGACTTGAGCATTCTGATTCTGAAGAATAGGCAGGAGAAGAAGAAAAAAAAGTTTTCTGTGCATCACTGCTTTTATCTGAAGCGTTAGATGACCTATAGAAACTCCTCTGGACCCAAGGCTCTGAAATTGAAGTTGTGACTGAATTTTTCACAGAATGTGATTCTTCATGTCCCAGAACATTTATTAAGGGAGATGAGGGTTTAGCCAGTGACTTCTGCTGTCCAGAGCTGACCAGAATCTTTAAATCATGGGTTTCCAAGTGGTGACCACAAATAGTCTGAGAAGCCATACCACATTGGCTCCGCAGCGTAGTACTGTTTATTCCTACAGAAAAAGAATAAAATGGTTAAATTTTTCCAGAACAGAACTTATAAAAATTTAAATCAGAAGAATGAATAAACATTAAACATCAAATCTTTATTTGTAATATATACTATATATATTTGTACTTCTATACTATGTTAAGAGATTCATCCCAAGTAACACTTAAAAACAAATACACCTTTTACTAAAACAATAATAATATCACTTTACGCAATGTCTAGGGACATCTAGTGTATGGAATCCTTAGCCTTTTGTCATGCATGTTAAAAACACTACTATGGTGACTCTGGCAGCTAATTTTTCTGAAATTTGTACCCAGACAGTTTCTGAACACCAAGTGATAGGTAAACAGAACTTGAACAGTACTACCTAAATAACAGAAGTAGCAAAACTAAAAACAAAGTAATGATGAAGCTAAAAATCTCAGGGAAACTCCTCTGCAACCATAACAAAGGTTAAAATGTTTAAACTGGATAAAATTTCAAATAAATGTCAATGGAATAAGTGTGTCCTACAACTTTTAAAAGTAAACTTTCAACTTTCCAGAAATATGAGATCTCTAGAGGAAAAGTCTAGTAAAAACAAAAACAAACCATCACTATATGGCCTTGAAGCCTCTTCTTCCTCCAACTGCTCAAAAGCAGTGACAAAGTCATCCTCTATGGAAGACACAGACTGGTTAGTGTCATCATCATCATCTTCATGAGTGGTCTCAAGCTGGCAGTTTTGATGTAAGTACGTGTCCAGGGTATATCTTATACCAGTAGCATATTTACTTAGGAGACTAAAGATAAAATCAATTCTGAGTCTTGGTAATGTAGGTGACACTCTCATGACACAAAGCATTCCAGAATGATGACTCTTGGGAAAGAAGAGATGATAAAAACAACTTTAATTTTAAATATGAAACACATTGTCTGAAAGAGGCCTTGAAATAAAACAATCTCTGAGAAAACAAAAAAACAAAAAACTGCATACATCTTGAAAGGCTCTATAGTTTTGCAATGTTTTATTCCTCCTCCTTTATATTTCTCAATTTCCAGTCCCTTTTTCTCCCATATTTCTCTTACTATCTCTTCAAATTCTACCTAATCTATCTCCTTCAATGTTATGGAACCTACTACCTATGCGTTTCCCTGGGCATCTTTCTTGTATATTTTCTTGTATATAGTGCTGTGATTTGCCTTAATTAATCATTAACCTATATCATAAACTGTGTTATAAAGGCTTAAGAACAGAAACCACGTTCTACTTTACTTTTTATGCCATTTTCCTGTGGCTTCCAGGATGATGCTAGGTTCCCTCCTACTACAATAAGTGAACTGTCTCCTTTTGACTTAAATTTATCTTGCACTAAAATTTACAATAATGTTCACAGTTTTAAGAATACAAGTCATCAAATTTTTCCCCAGCTACTATCTTTAAAAACACCAACACTGACAAATGATTTATTTTAAAAATTAGAAACCAAATATACCACCCTTACATCCTAGTAAATAAGGAAAAATAAATATGAATGAAAAATACAAAGAAATGAGGCCAAGTAGTTCTATTTTTAATCAACAGACTTTGTAAAGAACACAGCAGTGTTTTACACTGAATAAGTAATACAAATTTTAAATCTACAGGTTTCATTTGTAAATGTTTTATCTCCTAAAACACAGTACTTGCCCATCATGTACAAGGCCTTGGGTTAATCCCCAGCACCATGATTAAAATAAAAAGCAAGTAATTCTTTGATGTCTTATCAAAAATCACTCTTAGTAATAAGCTAGAAGCTAAATACTATGAAATTAACCACTTATCTGCAATGTTGATAATTCTATTTATAAATTTAAAACATATCATCGTATGGTTCAGCATACCTAGAAATTTTTTAACCAGAAAATGAGCTGAAGTGCATGCTCTTCAACATATAACCCAATATTTAGGTAAATTTGGACTTCACCATAAAGTAGAAAAATCTCTATGACTTATAGAAAAGTAGAAATTAAATAAATCTAGAAATAATAAATTTTCATTAAAAATTACTATGTACTTATATATTACTTATAAAACTTCATAGAGAAAAAAATCACAGAGGAAAAAAATTAATATATAAACTATGACTAAATTCTATGCATCAGGTATGTCAACAGTGCATGAGTTAAAACTGCTTTAGTCCTATTTACTTAAGATTAAAAGAAAAAAAAATCCAAGCACTTCAGTTCAATACTCTTGATTAAATGTAGTAAAATGTAGCCTGAAAAATTTATTACCTGATTTAGAGGACTGCTGTTGACATCTGATGATTTATTTATATCCTTCATACAAATAATTTCATTTTCATTTAAACTGCAGAAGTGGAGTGAATTCAGAAGATCTGGAAGTTCCAAAGACACTGCTGCTAAATCCTATTTTAAAATAACATAAATAACACTGTAAAGTCATACTTTTGTTGAGGTTTCCTAAATGTAGTTTTCAAAAATCATTATAAAGTCTGCTGATTAATAAACTGACTTATAATAGTACACATATGCAATTTATCTTTTTAATTCAAAAAATTTAAGTACTAAAAATTAATTAATACTGCTTTTCCTGTAGCCTTACAAATGTATTCCTAGCAAGATATATAATACATTTTAACATGCTACCTCAAATACCCATGACACTGATGCATTAAATTGTTTTTAGTAAATGTCAACTGATGGTCCTCAGCTTTAACTCTGGAATTTTGCTGACAGCCTTCATTCTTGGCTTATTGAATGTACTTCCTCAGAGCTTAAATTTTAACTTTGCAAAATATAGGCCCATTTTTCTGTCTTTCCTTTTGAATGTAATGTTACAATCTTCAACTGAAAATTTTATGAAGGTTAAAGGAAAGGAAGCTAGCTTTCGCTTTTTCGTGTTTGCTCCTTTTACATAAATATTTTAACCAGGTAAAGAATTACTGAAGTCTTTGACCCTTTGAGAGTACTTTGCTTTGCAAAATAAACATGGTTTTCTAAGAAAGGGTTAAAAAAAGTACTAGAGAAATACTTTGGAACATTTCTCTTTCTAATCATACATTCTCAGGAGTATGTTCTCTTGATTCCTTCTGTCTGAGCTCTTCCAGCTAAGACACTCAGGACATAATGGTGTTTTCTTTCATAGTCACCTGATATGCAGTTTACAAAAAGAATACAATAATGTTTTGTCTCTTTCTTTTGGGGAGGTGTTTTACCAAAAAAATAAATATGTAGCAAATTTTAAAGCAGCAGCAGGAGGACAAGTAGTATCTACAGAACTTTCAACCACACTTGATGTAGCTGTGAAGCCTTCCTTTATTGATTCTAATCCCTGTATAAACGCCTACAGAAAAAAGGCTAAAAATTTTACACTGGTTAATTTTGACTTTTTTACAGATTTTATTTTTGAGGGCCAGGGATTTAGCTCAGTGGTTCCGGTGCCTGCCTCGCAAACACAAGGACCTGAGTTCAATTCCCAGTACCAAAAAGAAAAAAAATTTATCTTTGATATTTAAGCCGACCCCAACTAAAATCTAATAACTTTTACAGTTGAAGTCAAATTATGAAAACCATCAAAATAACAAAACAAACATCACATTATATTTGAAGCATGGAATACAGAAAAAGCCGGTGGTGGTTTGCATCCTTCTCAGATAAGTGGTGGTACAACCTAATAATTCTTTCTAAAATAAGGACTTTCAGTAAAAATGCTAAAAGTGAAAATGTCCAAACCACACTCAAAAGTTGACTTTAAATTGTCACCTTTGAACAGATAACAGAAAATTTTAGTGTAAGTATGGACCATTAAGATAAATTTTTCATGGTTTGCAAACCTGGGTTGAAGAAAGAAGGAAATGGGGGGAAAAAAGAAGAATCAAGATATATTATGTACACGTACAAATTCCCCAGAATGAATGGGATCATTATGTATATTAAAAATATACCAATAAAATTAATTTTTAAAAATCTGTTTCAAATAATCTCTTGCAACCCTTTCCAATCCAATAGTCTAATACCTGTATATGAGCAGCATCTGTTTCTTCATTAAAGCCCAGAAATGTGACCTGAATAATAAAGGAATAAAACTCCATTAATTTGATTTTTTAAGCACTGTCTCAAGATTGTTAACAGAACTGAAAAATAGAAAAAAAAAAGCATAGTAAGACATTAAAATGATGACTGCCTTGGACAAGGTATTTTCAAAGATGAAAAGGTTTTTTTTACAAAGCATTGGCTCTAGTTGTGAGCCACATTCACATTTTCCTCTCTACCAAGCTTAATCAATTCTAACTCTAAAATATATTCCAAATACATCCACTTCTCTCCACATCTCCTGTCTCTGCTTCTCATTTGCACTGTTACAATCTTCTTCCAACTGATCCCACTGTCATGTGACTACCCTATGCAAACACCTCCATGCTTCCTAGGGGAAATTTCTACCTGGGGTTAGTGGACACCTTCAGCCCTCTCAACTTTCATTCAAACACACAGGCCCTTTCCAGTTCTAGAAAATATCCTGAACATTTTGGCCTAAGGATCTCAAAGTTAAGCCCCTTGATCTGGATCTTTCTTCTATGGATGTTTACATGCTCTTATTCATTTTTCAAGTCAACTCAAATGCCACCTTCTTTCTTGGTAGACCCCAAGGCTCCTTTGTCACTACCTATGATACTACCATTTATTTCCTTTAACATCCTCATAGAGTTTACTCAGAGAAGTTTATAGAAATTAAATTTCTAAGGAATATCTAACAACATGAGGAAATGTTCCATTATTAAGTAAAAAGGACAAGTTACAAAAAAACATACAGTATGCACCCAATTTCAACCTTATTTTTAAAAACATCTGCATAAAAATAATACTGGAAGGCAATACTCAAAACTATTAACAATCATTAACTTTTGTAGTTTTGTTTTATTTTTTGTTTTTTGAGACAGGATCTCACTATGTAGTTGAGACTGACCTGGAACTCATGTAGCCCAGGCTGGTCTTGAACTCACAGTGATCCTCCTGCCTCAGTTTCTGAAGTGCTGGGATTACAGGCGTGCACCACCACACAAGGCAACTCTTAACTGATGGAATTACAGTCACACCTTGAAATGCAACTGCTCTGGTATGCAACATAATTTTGTCCTGCTACTCATCATTTGTTTGATACTAGACACACAAGTTAGAATTTGGTGTCAACTGCCATGTGACTTGCTTCTCTTTCCAGCAAAACAATTTGTATGATACTCATCGTTTTTGGCCCTCGCCATACTTCCTGGAACCAATCAACAACAAATACCAAGGTACCACTGTACATGTGATCTTATTTTTTCATCTGTGCTTTTATTTCCTAATTCACAAGATCAATGACATTTTCATTTTTATACTTTTGGTATTTCTTTTTTTTTTTTTTTTTTTTTAAAGAATATGTACTACTTTTACAATCTGAAAATTATGTTATTTTTTAAAATTATATTTTATGTCTTTATCTCCATAGATTTTTTTTTCCACTTGAAGACAGAATAATAAACAATTAAGCAAGTACTATGGCTAAAAAAACACACAGTAGTTCGATGATAACAATATAATTAATGAGTTGTTAAGAATGAGGGGTAGAAATAGAGTTAAAATATAAATCAACACTGAATACACTTTTGATCTCTTTCTGATTGAGAAGCCAGAGTTTTAAATTACCCTTGGATCTTTATTCTGATTAATTATGGTTATTATCTCAGAAAAGTGTTAACTTCCGGGCATCTAGATAAAGGTTAACCTCTAGGAGCCTATTTCCTTATCTATAAAACTTTAGGCAATACAACTCACTCTGACACATATAAGCACTCAATAAGATAATGAGTATTATCTCAAATGACAAATTTCTCTACTTTCTTCAAACAGATATTTTGAGATAAGAATACTCTAAAATGGTAGCAGCACAGTTTGTAATAGCTAAAACTTGGAAACAGCCCATTTGCCCATCAGTTGGAGACTGGATAAAGAAGATGTGGTTTCTCTATAAAATGCAGTATTACTCAGCCATAAAGAATGAGAAATTAGATTCATTCATAGGAAAATGGATACATATTGAGGATATACTCTTAAGGGAATAAATAAGTCACACATGTGTAAATACTGAATAGTTTCTCTGGTGTGAATAAAGTGTAATAGTACATAAAATCCTAATGAGACAACTGACATTGTGAAATGGGAAGCAAGGGGCTAAAGGTGTAGGGAAAGTGGGATGAGTAGGGGAAGGGTAATAAAGGAAAAGAAAAAAATGTGAGAAAATGAAAAGATGGAAATAAAGTGTTTGTAAATGGGGGGGGGGGGGAGGGAAGGGCAGGGACAAGGGGAAAAAATGAGAACCAAGACCTGTCGTGTAGAGGTACAAGATCCCAACAATGAATGTAACTGCACTGTATCCCTAAAATATACCAATAAATTCAATTATTTAATTTTTAAAAAAAAGAATACTCTAAAATGAAACAGAAATTCCTATAGAAGTCTTTCAAGTTTCCTTTTCTTAATGCAAAAGAGTAAATAAGCTGACATGCAGTACAGGAGACACCAAGAAAGTATTCTATTGCCTACTGACCAAGAAAGGCCTCATCAGTGAATGTGAGCTTGGATAGACATATAAGCAGCTGGAGAGATATGCACTGCGACACTGTTGAGAAGAACAACAAAGGAGACTTGTAACACTTGCCAAGAAATAATTAGATTAAGAGTGGCTCAACTTTTACTATAAAAAACAGGAGCATCAAAAAAGGTAAGTCAAGAGCCACAGAAACTGAGATGATGCAAAAAGAAGAGGTGCAAGTAGCAAAAAATACAGGCCCCAAAAGTATTTTCATCTTCCTATGAAATGCAGCCAAGTGGAGAATTTCTCTAGCAAAATGAAAGAAAATCATTCCTCAAAATATGAATAATCAAGGTTTTTATTAGAACCCTCATTTCAAAAAAATTTAACAGGACCAGGCATGTAGCTCAGTGGCACCATGCCTGTGTGGCAAGTGCAAGGTCCTGAGTTCAATCCCCAGTACTGCCAAAAACAAACAAACAAAAAATTTAATATATGTTTTAGATTTAAGCTGCAAAGACCCAATACCACATGTCTTATTTGGTTATTATATGAACATGATGACAGACTATTGATATATTGATATACGATTATATATCTTTATATATGACTACTTATTATTTTTTTAAATGTTACTGTTTTTCATAGTAATAAATTCAGACAAAGACTGGAAACACTAGATTTAGCAGAGAAATAGCTGAGTAAGTTGTATATCTTACCTTCAAGTAACAGGAAATACCTTAATTTCAAAGATAAATTTATGATTACCTTTTCATTTTGAATCGAAGTATTGAAACACTCAAGAAATTAATAAAAAATGAATACAAAAAATAAGCACTCTTTTGTTTCAGAGTGGAACACTAAAAAATGTTGTATGTTCAATAAGCAATAAATAACGTTTACTCACTTTACTGTACTCAGAAGAACACATTAGGACAATTATGTTAGCCAGTATTTAAAACATGTATTCACACTGAATTTAGAAAGGATTTAGAAAGTAATATGTCAAACCTCAGTTAAATTGGCATGTTCATCCTGCTTTAAACAGTCCTCGCCTGATATACTGCATAGTTCCTTCTCACTCTGTAATAAAGACTTTACAGACTGGAACACATCTTCGCTGAAGCTCTGGGGGGAAAAAAACATTCTTAATTTATTTAACTCTAAGACAAGGTAAGAGATCCTGTAGATATTTTAGATTTGGATTAAAAATCACCCATTCTCCAATTAATATTCATTTGATGCCTTATGACATTGTTTAGAGAACTCAATTCAGCCAAGAAGAAAAGGTCCATTCAGGTGAAAAGACTTAAGTAAGAGTTCTCTGTGCCCAGAACAAATGAATATACCAGACAGAGGCTAAGTAGCTCACTGGAAAATCACACAGAATCCTCGATAAGCCATAGGTTTGCTTACTCTTACTTTAAGCTAAAACTAACAGGTTGCATATTGGATTTCCAAGACCTACAGAACAAAGAGAAGAATTTAACACAATGAGTGGGACAATGTGGGAGATACAGTTGGTGAGGCTAACAACAGTGATTATTCACTTTACAAAGTTAGAGAAAAAAGAGAGACAGTAACTCAAAATAAGATTTTTCAGGAGGTTTACAGACCTCTGGATTTGGGGACCAGGACTGTCAAGAATAAACAACTAGAGGGAGGAAGAATTTACATAAACAAAATGAGTATTACGCTGCACATAAAGAGAACATTAACTTCCTTCTACCTTATTCCCCCTTTGATTTGATAATGTGCTCCTCTATCAGAAATGTCCTGGGCCAGGGGTTTAGCTCAGTGGTTCCACTGTCTGCCTTGCAAACTCAAGGACCAGAGTTCAATCCCCAGTTAAAAAAAAAAAACAAAAACAGAAATGTCCTTATTCCACAGTCTTTCCTTGTAGAAAGCCTACCCATCCCAAGACCTCAAGATTGTTCCCATCCATTAGTCATAATAAAATACTCTCAAAGTTACTGCCATATTGCTTGCACATTAAGAGCATTTAATCTAAATCATAACATCTTATATTTACTACTCTCATATATATGTTTTCCTATCCATTAAACCAAATTATTGAAGACAAAGTATATTTCGCTGATTTCCCTAGATTTCAGAACCTCAAGTACTAAGTCAACAAAGAGCTTCTAACTTTAATAAAGTTAAGTGTAAATCTTTACTTTAAAAGAATATAAATATGAAATCAAAAAATTCAAGAAAAAAAATGTAACGTTAAATTTGAATTTCAGCCAGATGTGGTGGCTCACACCTGTACTCCCAGCACTTGGGAGGTTGAGGCAGGATTGCTGTGAATTTGCGGCAGCCTGGGCTGTTGTGGAAGGAATTTGTAAGTGACACACAAAGAGGCAACAGAATGGAAGTAAAATAACAAAATTTACTCATCGATGAGGGTAGATGGCTACATAGTGAGTTCAAAGCCAGCCTGGACTACATAGTAAGATCTTATCTCAAAAAATAAATAAGTAAATTTGAATTTGATCTATCAATATGAACCCATAATAAAATACTCTAAATATATTTAACACATTTAAAAGTCTTAGAAGCAATGACTTTCAGTAGCAATGAGCATACCTAATACCCAGAGTTCGGTTTCTAATAAAATCTCCAATAAAATAAACTAAAATGCCTCAGAAAAATGGTTGATTCCAGACCTGGGGGCAGAGAAAGTACAGAGGGAACCTAGAACATACACCTTTGCAAGAATGCAAGGAAGTGCTCAAAGACTAATGGGGTCATTTCAAAAGAATAAAGAGCCAGCTTGAAGGAATTCCTCCTGGCCACTTTTGAGATACTGGGACATCAAAAAGAATAAAAATAAAAATGGAGTATAACTGTTCAATTTAATCATGGGCACTCTTCTTTACCCATGAACACTAGCTGACAAGTATGGACAGAATGACTAAATTAGAAAATCTCATTTGTAATTCCAATTGTAATTACTGATTTAGAAAAGAATTGTCAATGTATCTTAAATATACTAGGTTAAAAGCTACTGAGGAACAAGATACTCATACTATCACAAACTATCATCCTATAGGTTTATTATCCAATTGTAACCATCTAATAACAGTACCTTTGTAATTAGATGGTTACAATCTTGGCCACCTGGTAAAGCTTGTCATCAACAGCTTGCACCTCCTGATCTGATAGCATGAAATAAATGTAGCATCATCTTTGAGGTGTTCCTGCTCAACCTAATTACAGGGAAAACCAGATGAACACAGAAGATGGAGATGTTCTACAGGACAAGTGTTCTAGGCTCTTATAAAGATTTGCTGACGTGAGAAAAGAATCTAAACCATTAAGGTCTAGAATTAAGGGAATCAAAAAGACAAAATACTAAATGCAGTATAAGAACCTTTCCTGGATCCTAGATGTGAGGCAAAGAAAAGGTTTCAAGTGCATTTGAGACAATCAGGAAAATCTATGTATGGATGGCATATTAGATGATGTAACAGATTTTTTTTTTCTTAGAAGAGCTAACATATTAAATAATGTCTGCCAAAAGGAAGTGTGGGTGTATATATAGGAAAAGAGGTACAAAACTGGGTATGGCAAAATGTTAACAAAGAGTGAACCAAGTTGGTCCAAAGGTTGTGGGTCATTGTTAAACTGATTAAAAAAAGGTGAACCTAAGAAAAGAATATGACATTTATTATAGTACTGGGGTTTTACCCAAACTATTCTATGGATCTGAAAATATTCATACCTAAATAATTTATTTTAATTAATGAATGGAGGTTTTCATTCTAATTTATGGACACACAATTAAAACAGAAAATATGTAAAATGTGAAATCTGAACTTGAGCTATCAATATAAACTCATGTACAGCAGAGGGCATTCCTAGTACCCAAATATTGGTTTCTAAATACTTTTCAAGCTTCTTTGAAAAACCAGCCAATTTCAGGTCTGAGGAAGGAGAAGTAGGTCAAAGAGGTAAAACCTGAAAGCAAGAAAGCAGTCAGGCAATTACACATTGACAACAACTTGGGGACAATTTGACCAATTTCAAATAAATAAATGACCAAATGGATGGATGAATGAATGAACCACTATAAATAAATGATTGAAAAAAATGGAACTGCTAAAAAACAGCTGGCACACATCTATAATACCAGCTATTTGGGAGGTTAAGGCAGGAGGTCTGCAAGTTAAGAGTGTAGCCTTGCCAACTTAGCAAGACTCTGTCTCAAAATGAAATTTAAGAAAAAAGTTAAGGATGAAATTCAGTGGTAAAAAGCTTACCTAATATGCATGAAGCCCTACGTTCAATTGCTAGTACAAAAAAAAAAAGTCAAAATCCATGAGTCCAAAGCAATACAAATAAAGGAAAATAAACTCACGTGATATCATTAGAGGTAACTATAATTCCCACTCATTAATCTGAAAATTGGTAACTAAAGGACAATGGCCCTTTTCAGTTTACGTGAATTATTTTCTCCCTTATAAGTATTATCATAATAGAGAAAACAGCTATCATAAGGGAAGGAAAGCAAGAAAAACACTGTTAATGAAAGTCAAAGACTGCTTTCCTTAAAGTTAAGGACTGGTCAAGATGATGAAGGCCAGAAAAAGGACAGATAAAGACTTCTAACCATCCTCCAGTCTCTATTCTTTTCTTTGTCAAGTAATGCCCCAAAGTGTTAGCAAAAACAAAATGTCAAGAAACGAAAGAAAGAAAGAGAAGAGAAGAGAAGAGAAGAGAAGAGAAGAGAAGAGAAGAGAAGGTCAACCAAATTGTCTTAGGCTTCTGTTTTATTTTGTTTGTGGTACTGGGAAATGGAACACAGGGCAGGGCCATCACAATGAGCTATGTATCCAGCTCTTTTTTATTTTTTATTTTGAGACAGGGTCTTATCAAATCACTAAGTTGTCCAAGCTGCACTCCAATTTGGGATCCTCCTGCCTTAGCCTCCCAGAGTGCTGGGATTAAAGGCATGAACCACCATACCCAGCTCCAACTTTTTATTAAGAGAGGAAATAAGGGGTTCTTCCTCAGACTAGAAAGAAGGATTAATCACTATATTTCATTTTCTTATTAATTGCCCAACATCTACCACAGGGCTCAGACTCAAATTTGTATTCTCTAAATGAATAAATGACAGTATTTCTTACAAACCTTTAGGGTAAAGCTCAAGGCACATAAAAAAGATTCATTTAAAACTAAATGTCACAGCACTATGAATTTTAACAAAATGATCAAGTTATATTAAAATGTTCATAAAAACAAACCTAATACAGTGAACTTACTTTTCTGACAGATCTTCTAGGCTTCACATGACTATTTCTGAACGGCTGGAAAGTCGCCATATTAGTTTCATATGCAATCACTGCAAAACAGATACACAAAACACCTAAAGAAAACATATTAAAAAGAAAAGCTTATTTATTAGTATTCGGGTAAGTACTTTGTTAGGTGTCTTTAAGCTCAGACATGTAAAGAAAAATGAAAACTGAAAAAAAAAATGACCCCTAAAAATTACTTAGTATTCCAACATATTTTTGAAAAATAGGTAAATACTGGTACTTTAATGAGATATAAAAATATTACAATAATCTTATTTTGAGGTTCAAAATTATAATATAATTTACTCTTCTGTACAGCTTCACTATCCTTTTCAATAAGAATTATTTTAGTAAGAATTAAATAAGAATTATTTGCAAAGCCTTTTTAAATCTTAAATAGACAGTACTGAAACAGAATCCCAGCTTTCCTGCCTCCAAAGTCATTCTTATCTCTACAGTAACAATAAATGCTACAGAAATTTGCTGAGCAGAAGGTTGTGATAATACACAAGTGGTAAAATGAAATCTTTACATATAAAATTAGACAAATAAACATGAATCCCTTAGAAAGTATAAGAGCACACCAATGACTAGAGATCACATAAAGTTAAATGATTAACAGTATTTACACACACACTTCCCTCAGGAAAAATTCTAAAACTAAGTTTTATCTTTTTAATAACACTTTAATTAAAACCTTTGAGAACTTAACCCAGGACATTAACCACACAATATCTACATTTGACCAGAGGACACTGATCACTTAAGACCTACTCATGCTATATACTAGAAGGCAAGAAAACAAGATGGTAATTAGTCCTCTTGGGTTCAGAGACTTCCAAAGACAAAGTTTTATTAAATACTCATGAAAGAATGAATTCTAAATAACAAAAAAAATCTAAACCAATAAAGATTTAAGAAATGGTTTCAATTATCTTCACTAAATCAAGCTGGTCTTATCAAGGATTGCCTGTTTCAGGTTTAAGACATTTCGTCAATATGAATTTACACTATGAAGAGATTTATATTCAAACAATTTATATTCAGAATTTCAAAAACTAAGTTTCACTTCTAATTTTATATTCTTGCATTAGAAGGATAAAAGTAAAGTGAGTACACTTCATACATGCACCCTCCTGCTTTAGAGATTTCTAGATTTTAATATTTACAAAAAAATTATAAGTTATTCTGTTCTGAACTAAGGTCAAGTCCTAGTGGTCTTGTGTAACAATAAAAGTTTGGTTAATGAAAATGAAGCAGTACCACAAAAGGACCAACATGATCCAAGAACCATTCCACAGATCATTCACATCCTTGATCTGCTTAGTTTCCTCTAGATAATCACAATGCTTCTGAATCTGTTTCCTTAATATATGAAATACCCTAATTACTGGACAAGTTTATTGTGAGAAGCAAATGGAAAATAATGTACGGGAGGCACTTTGGAAAGTATAAAACATGTGCTTGCTTCGGCAGCACATATACTAAAACTGGAAAGTACAAAACATGAGCAAAAGAAAAATTTAAATATTTACACATGGACCAAAATGACCAAGTGGAACAAAATTACCAAAACAAGGCTTAAGTATAAAAGGTTTATGAAGACAAAAAAGGGAATAATCCTTTTTTTTTGTCTCAGTTCAACTAACTCTCCTTTCTTTCTCACAGCATTCTGAAACTGCCACAAACCTTCAGAGGCCAATAGAGTCGTCCAAAACTTCCTATAAACATAAAATATGCAGGCCAACATAAAGGTTCCAGAAAAGCTGACACTGTCAAAGTCAGCTCTTGAGTAAAGTTACACTGCTTTCTACAAAGCAATTTTGTAATTCACATCAAAACTCGGAGTATCTTCCCACCCTTCATCCCACCAACTGTACCTTTGGGCGTCTGTCAAAGTAAATAATAATCCCGAAGCATCTAAGGTTCTAAAAGAGACTATACAAGGAATAAGCACTTGCTAAGACATTTAATATCTTATTGTATTCTCCAATTTTACAATTAGAAAAACTGAGGCAAGGAAAGTTAAGCAATTTTCCTAAACCCACACAATAAATGTCAGACCTGATATTAAAATCTAAATATTCTAATTATCGTATATCATGGTTTGAAAAGGTATGCATCATAATTCATAATAGAAATAAACACCTAGATGCCAAAAACAAGAGAATGATTAAATAACCGTTAGCTCAATTCTGCAATGAGGACATGACAAACAGAAAAAACAACGTTGAAGGACAAGAGGAGTGCCACACAAAAGCCCTCTACAGAGTTAACTCCTAACCTTGCCTGCAGCGGGCGTTGAGGGAAAGACATGGGAAGCAGCAATTATCTTTGCAGCTGCTGAATAAAGTCATTTTAATCAAAGGTAAACACTACCTCACTGCTTCAAACTAGTTACCTAGATGAGTTGCCCACCCTAAAGTGTGATCCGCTGTGGCTGAGTGTGGAGAAATAGCCTGGCTGTGACATGGAACTCCAGTATTCAAGGTTAAGATACAGAACCCAATATGGCAACGATAAAACAATATGTATGAACAAACACAAAAGAATATATGCAAGGACTGGGAATGTAGCTCAGCAGTACAGAGCCTGCCAGGCAAGTGCAAGACCCTGAGTTCAATTCCTGGTACCAAAAAAAAAAAAAGACTACATGCAAAAAGAAAGAAAAAAAAAATCCAGACAAATCATGCCCTCCCACACACACTTACATTATCTAATAGTACCTCAGAAGTCGTATCATTGTTTAAAGTTAACAAAGATGAAAGATTAGTTCCACATTTACACCATGCTGCATAGAAAACAATTACTAAACCATACTCCACTATTTTGTGTTTAAGGTGAAATAGTGTCTCACAAAGAATATCAATACACAAGAAAGTATCTGTGCAACATAAAAGTGAATCCAGTATGAGATGATATGGCATATTTCTGGTAAAGCAAAGACAAAAATAATCTATGGAAATGATACAGACAGATGGGATAATGAAAAATACTGGATGCAGGGTTTCCTCATCATCTTATAGAATTAGAAAGTATACACTTTTATATTGCACAAGAGAAGCAAAAATACACTGTACCCCCCAAATACCTTTGTATTATAGTAAACTCTTCACTCAATGTATGTTTATTTTGTGCCCTATTCTGGGTAAATAAAAAAGAATTCTAAGCAGGGTATTACAATAAAACAAATGAAAGTGAATCTAGATTTGGGAGAAAACAAAAGCAGATGACAGACAATAAAGTACAAGAGGACAGAGCAAACACCTAAAAAGTGAGCTGCTAGAGCTCAAAGACACAAAAAATTGTTAATTCAAAAATTCAAATGTATTCTTTAATTATTACCTAGCTGTTGGGAAGAATGAGTTAAATAATACAAACTAGCATGAAAAAGCAAGATGTAGAATTGTGTAAACAGTGTGCTCTTACCTACAATTAAAATATAGATATATACACACACAACTCTGACACACGTTTTACATACCTAGGAAATATCTTGAAGGAGGTTCACTGAATTATCAACAAGGTCGCCAAGACAAAGGATTTTTAAAAGATGTTATAAATGTTATCAACCTATATTACGGGAAGATGAGAGATTATTAAATAAACCCAATTTCGGCATGCTTGCATTATTCCATTTTGTATAAACCCTGTGAACTACAAGTGTGTATTTATATATGCAATACAAAAAGGACATATGGTAATGGGTACACGCAGTGGTTTTACCTGGGCAGATGCAATTATGAGTTTTATTTTTTTTGTCTGTGCCTTTATATCTTATATTTTTTAGGATGTGTATACATTCTTTTACAATAAAAAATATTGCCCAAGTCTTTCTAACTCTCCTCTGCCTGGGAAATGTTAAAGTTAACATAGTCTATAATCTGACCTTTTTTTATATCAGGAGACTTAACCATGACAAGGAATATGAAATAACCATCTTGTCTTCTACAAATAACTGGTTTGTATTGACTCTCCTCCAGCAGGACTAGTTCTCAAACTTGCTCAGGTCCCTCCCTGTACTCCTGCTTCCTGTCCCACTCTGTGATTACTTCCTCTCAAGCATACAATCCTGCCATGAGGTCATCCACCATGCTGTGATCTATCAAGAAGGTCCTCACCCAAGGCTCAGCAAACAGGCCTGCCCAATCTTGGACTTTTGGCCTCTAAAGCTGTGAGATAAATCTCTTTTCTGTATAAAATACCTAGCCCAGTGATGGCAAACATTTTACAGACCGAGAGCCCAAACTGCATCCCAAACCCAATTATTTATCACAAAATGCCAACACTACATTAAACCCGAATACTGACATTTTAGTTTAGAAAAAAAAACCCAACTCATACAACATCTTTTTTCTTAAGAAGACACAATAACACTCGTGCCATAACTTCGCCACAACTGACCTAGCAGCAGGTACTGTATTTTGTTACACAACCAAAAAGGGATTAAGACAATTCCAGGTATTTCAAAATTGGTATGTTCAAATATGAATGAAATTTTCTCCCTAAACAATCTCCCCTGTATTCGCTATCTCAGTAAGGGCCAATAAACCAATTCCAGCAAGAAAGCCAAGCTGGAAATTGCCCTTATCTTTAATCACTACAATCACGCCTAGTAAATTACTGAGTCCTAAACTGACATGTTCTAAACTTCCTTCACATCCACCCTCTCTCACTTCTATCAGCTAAACTGCTGCTTATCCTTTAAACATAAGTTCTAGGACCTCTCTGAGGAAGCCTTGATGCATCATCCCTCCTTACCTTTCTTGCCCAATTAATAACCACTTCTTTTATACTCCCCAACTGGTGTGTCCTTTAATCCTTTGGCACAACTGTTTGCCTGCTTTCCTCTTGTGAGTTCCTTGCAGGCAAATATGTTTTTTACATATTTGTACTTTAAAATAGTAGGCATGCAAACATTTGTTGAAAAAAAGTCATCTTAAAGAGCAAACTATGCCACACTAACAAAGCCTAAAACCTTCAAAACAATCCAAACACTCCAAATAATCTAATAGTATACTCCAACTAAATTCAACCCTCTTAAGGATTACAAGTCAAGCAGGCAACA